AAAAAAAAAAAAAAAAAAAAAAAAAAAAAAAAAAAAAAAAAAAAAAAAAAAAAAAAAAAATCGATCTAACGGGGCACCGAAAGTGAAATTTGGGTTTCTTAAGTTTTAAAATATCTGTTTGGGGGCTAACCGTCTAAAAGGCAATAAGTGGCGATGAGGTGGCGATGATTGGTCATTTTACCAAAAATCAAAAGCGGACAGGAAATAACAAATGTTGCACGGTATGGGGGGGGGGGCTTTTGAGAAAGGCCGGGTACAATTTTTTTGTATCGCAGTCAAAACTACAAATTTTGATGTTAACTTCGTCACATTATAAATTTTAAGGGTTGCTTTTGAAAGACGTTTTTACGAGGAGACCAATGAAACTACTTTTAAACCTTTAAAGTTTTTATTAATAAAGATGTAAGTTTCTAAAGTTTCTGCATTATTTCCAACCTCTGTCGTTAACTCGTTTCACGTGCGTCGCAAGCTGAGAAGCGTAGTTCTGTGATTCCGCCACCAGTATTCTATTTACTTTAAATAGAAAACGAAGCCACCTTTTTACAAGAGGGTTTCCAGAAAGCACTCCCGAAATGGATCATACAAAATTTTTACAAAATATTAGTGATGTTTTCCTCTTTAAGAGAAATGCGGCAATAAATATACAACGGCGCAAACTGAGAAGTTTCATTATCTTTATTAATCATACGACTAAAATTAAAATCCAATAGGTATTCTTCGTTACATTCGTAATTTACGAATGCAATAAATAGGAACTATGACCCACTTTTCAACAAAAATGATTGAATGAAACGCTGACACTTTTGATTCACCCGAAAAATTCTTAGAAAAATGTGTCTAAGAGCAAGAATTGGCTGTTTTTGCATTACATAGAGCATTTCAAAACAATGAAAAATATACCGAGAAACAAAAAACTATGAAAGCTCTGAGTATCACTCGATGATCATTCCCGACTCGTTGTCAGCTCCTATTATTGCGACAAGCAACTTAACGCACTCGTGAGCAGGTGAGGTTGCATAAGTCCAGAATTGAAGGCGTTTTTGCCCTTTCCGGCACGCATACGCGACGCACTTGAACTGAACTTAACTGAATAAATGGCAAACGGTCGTCCAATAAGAGGACTTGATTCTGAAGTGTTCAGTGCTTATCGCACTCAGTGCACAGGCAAATCCTCATCGAACAGTAAATGGTGAGACATTACGTACTATCGAATTGGTAATTTCATTACTATGACTTTCTGAGACAGTTTCTGTCAAATTTTATCTCATGAATTTGTGTATTTTACTGTTTTTTGCCCCCCAAACTCTTAATTATTATGAATGGATCAACTTTTAAAATTTCTGAGTGCATTTTGCATGCGCCAAATAGAGAAGAATCAACCTCTTTCAAGTTGTGATACAGGTATTTCACTCGTTCCCCACCAAAAGGTGCATTTGGACTACATTTTGCAATAAGCCAATACTATTTCTAACTCATCTTTAAAAACCCCTACCTGCATCGGCAAAATAAGTGCGATAGGCGGACGAAAAAGACTAACAATGAGAAGAAGAGAGAAGTAGAGGAAGAAAAACAGGAAAAAGAAGCAGGAGAAGAAGAAGAAAGTAGAAAGAAGAAGGAGAGAAGAAGAGAAGGAGGAACAAGTAGAGCTTAAAAAAGAGTGAGAAGAAAAAGAGAACAACGAGGAAGAATGAGAGAAACATAGAGAGGAAGAAGGAGTGTAAAAAAGATGATGATGATGATGATTATTATAAAGAAGAAAAAGAAGGAGAAGGAGCACCTGTTTGTATAGGAATATCAACAGCATCACATGCGTTGTTTCTTCTGTGAGTCTAAGATGGTAGCTATTTATTGCAAAATATAGTTAATGTGACGAAGTCATATAGTACAGAAATACTATCTCCGTCTAATTTTTGGAACTAATCATGTACCATAACTTTGCCTGTGCAGTTAGGTGGTTTTAAGGTGGAGCCAGAAATAGAGTCCCTTATTGGAAAATGTAGTCGAAAGCTATTCTTATTGTGACACTGGATGCGAAATGCAAATACATGCGAATGCATTTTGCAATAAGGAACCGCTATTTCCGGCCCATTTTAGAGACAACATTTATGCTATTGGTTTTCCTGTGCAAACATGCGCTTTCATGGGAGAGTCAGAGATAGTGATTCCTTGTTGCAAAATGTAATCCAACTGGGAGAAGAGCGGACAGCCGTGGCTCGGCCGTGAGCTGACGCTCTCATTATGACGATCAGGGATCTGCGTTTGTCCTACAGGAGGGGACCTGCTTGTTATCCCTCCGTCGAACGTGACGGTGCTGGAGGGCGAGTCGGCCCACTTCCAGTGTGTCACCTCGGACAGGGATGCTCAAGTGAACTGGTACAAGGACGGCGTGCCCCTCCCGAGCCTCGACGACCTCCGCAACCGGGTCTGGATCAGCCCCGAGGGATCCCTCACCGTCCAGCCGACCAACATGGCCGACCAGGGCCTCTACCAGTGCGAGATCATCGGCAGCCAGGGCGACGCCCAAAGGGCTGGCGCCTACCTCTCTGTCCAGTGTGAGAACCCCATTTACCTCTCTCTTGTAATTGCCCAGAGCTTAACAGGAAATTTTTAATGAAAAATAGAATCTTGAAATTCATGTGAAATATTTCATGAAATTTCAGAAAAATATGAAAAACATTTTTCGACATTAAATGCAAAATTAAGAGAAAGGCGATTGATTTTTGCCTCTTGGTGTTTTTTAGTGTGTGTTGCATACCCAGCCCCTGAAAATGTTTTTCATATTTTTCACAACTTAGTGAAATTTCATGAAATATTACATGGAAATTTTCAATATTTCATATTTTTCATTTCACCCGTGCAACCCTGGGAAGGCACCAAGCAGTGGCGATTCCAGCAAGTTGGCAACACGGTTAATACTCCGTTTGAGGACATTGAATTTATCGATTCTAGGTGAAACAGGCTACTACAAGCTGATAAAATCGATTGTTTCGCCTAAGCTTAAATGGAGGAAAAGCGCTAGAGTTGCCAACTTTCAAAAATCGCCACTGTCACCAAGTCGGACCAAGTTTAAACCGAGAAAAGGAGGTTTGAGGTATTATTCCTCCAAACAACTTAATGTTAAGGACGAGATTTAAAAATTATTTTCTTGCTCAAAATATTTTTTCTCAACCTTTACATTGTGACGGGATTCTTCTGAAGTTTGAACTTCCTAGATTTGGTTTCATACTTTGAGTATTCAGAAATTTTGTCGTCACCCCGAAAGTGAAAATGTTTGGGGGGGGGATGAATTGTAAACTGAAAATTTTCATTATTGGGGCGACAAGAAATTTCTGAATACTTAACCTTACGATTAATAATTGAATTTAAAAACGCTCTTAACTCATTTTTTTTCCAAAATGTGACCAGGAGGGTCTTAGTTGAGCTGGATCCAGTTTACTACGCGGCCAAAAGAGGAAAAAGGAATGAAAGAAGGGTTTTTGTTCGGATGGGGAGATGCAAAATATCATCTCGTGATGTTAAAAAACCTGCATCATATTCCAGATATTTAAACATAGCGAACTCATCAAAAAAGTATTAACTACATGCTGATAGCGTTAAAATCATGAAAATAGGCCGTGAGAATCTTTAGAACGAACTATGACAACAGGTGGAAATTTGGAGGGTCAGAAAGCTTACATACAGGATGTTCAAAAAGTATGGATACTTTGTTAATATCCCGGGAACGGTTTCGAATGCAGGTATTGACATACGGTTCAAACGGAACTCCCTTAAATAAAAAAAGTGGACAGTTCTTTCGAGGCGGCTGTGACATCTCACCTCAATTACCTACGGAAATTACAGAAAAGGTTCCAAATAAATACATACAAATAATGATCAAATTGTTTCTCTTTTCTCTTTTCTCAGTCAAGGCACGGATTTTAACCACACCGCGAGAGGTGTATTTGCCTTACGGACGCGCGGCCACGTTAGACTGTCACTACGGGGCTAATCCGGAGATAACCAATCTCCGATGGGAGAAGGACGGATTTTTATTCGATCCGTTCAATGTCCAAGGAGTTTTTTTCAGGCGCAATGGCTCACTTTACTTCAGCAAGGTAAGTTAAATTGTCTGCTAACTGGGAAAAAATCAGAAACAATGCGCGATTTGATACAAAGACCTCGTTCTTCGGAAAAATCAGGTGCACCAAAAAGAGAGGTTACAGGCTGTGTGGACGTACCGTCCATTCCGGGTCGAAACTTGCCGGTGCTGGAAGCGTCGCTTCGATCTCTCCGAGTGCTACGCCCGGAACTTTCTGCCTCTGAGCCCGGGAGCGCGGACGGTAAATCTATACGTCGCAGGCAAATAGTCAAATCAAGCATTTCATCAAATGCCTAGGCAGATAGTCAAATGTTGATGGTTTACAAAGACTTGTATGTTTTTGACGAGGAACTAATAAGTTTCCATTGTTTTGAAAATAATAATTCATCAAAACTTATCTTGTATTTTGCCCTCCAAATGCTCCTTATATACCTATTTCAACTTTCAGGTCCAAAACGTCGGTATTACATGACATGCTGAAAATCCCGAGATGAAAGCTCGTTTAAGGACTAGTTTTAATTTATTTACAGTTTTATGGTGCTATTTTTTACAGGAACTCCTTATCAACTAGAGCGAATAACTATTTTGTTTAAAATTAGCAAAAGAATCAGAATTTCAATCCAAGTGATATTATTTGACTACCTATTTGCCCTGGTAAAAATTGGCAGTAGAATCTGTGTTCCAAAATACCATAGACCTACAGCCGACTGTAAGATTTCTAATAGCTTCTATAGCCGGTAACACAATTGCTCATATCCTTTTATAGCCGATGGCGATTAAGCAACAGCCTGACGATAAAGTGTATGCTATCCGTTACTAATTACGGATGCTAGGACTTAGTGAGTTTTTGGACTACCGCTCTCTTTTTGGGCCGTAGTATCTTGATTTATTTTGCGAGGGAAGCTCCGTACTTTTGAAGGATGCCTGCCATTCCTAATATGTTGGAGCGCCTTCAATTCCGTGCGATACTGTGCAATACCTCTGGTGTGAAATAGTTGCTTCAAGCGCCATGGTAAGCTGCGGCGCAGCGCGGCGGGCGGGCAGCCAGCGCAAAACGCGCATTGGCGCCTACAAACCTAACAGGGATACTTCACGCATTGCGCAGTGCGTGAAGTATCCCTGTTAGGTTTGTAGGCGCCAGTGCGCCGCCGTTCCGCTTTGTGTTAGGCTCTAATACTTAATCTCGTGGAGTTAGCGTTGTTCAACTCATGACTATGAAATGTTTGCACACTCTGTATGGATTATTCTCATTTCAATTTATGAAAACAAATATGTAGAAAAGGAAAATATACTGTGCGTTTTGTAAATATTATGGTGATTCCGTACAAACTTGCGGATTTTCAAAGCACACGAATTTCTACACAATTTCTTATAGCCTTTTATAGCCGATGGCGAAAAAGCAACAGCCAGGCGATGAAGTGTAAAGCCCGGCTATAAAAACTATAGCCCGGCTGTTCAATTTTTTATCGCTCGTGTAGCCCGGCCGCATGATTTTTTCCACTTTCTACAGCCAGCTATATCGTTTTCTATCGTCTTCTTCAGTCGGCTGTAAGAACTCCTATGTTATTTTGAAACGCAGCTCCTATCGCCAATTTTTACCAGGGTGCCGAGGCATTTGACAAAATGCCTGATTTGACTAATTGCCTACATGGCTCGTAAGTACGGCTTTTACGTCTATGGCCAGAGTAATTCCTTTCTATGTGAATTCTAATCAGAATTTTTACCCCGATAAGTCATGAAAAAGTTGTTAAAATCGGGAATTTTTTTTTTCTTCGCGACGCATCTGATTATTCTGTGTTTCCAGGTTGACGAGACTCACGGAGGTGAGTACACCTGCACCCCGTACAACGTTCTAGGGACGGAGGGTCCCTCTCCACCCATCCACGTAATCGTTCAACGGCCACCAGTCTTCATCATCACGCCGCACAACTTGTACTTGCGCAAAACAGGGGAGTCCATCGAAATCCCCTGCGATGCCCTCGACGGCAACACCGCCTTGAGACCCACCATCGTTTGGTTTAAAGTAAAGTAAATTTATGTCCATTCATTTCACTTTTCTTGAAAAACTCATGAAAAGAGTGTTCAAAACTCACAGGCGCCAACGCGCCAAATGCGCCTAAAAAATGATGTCTCTGCGCCAATTTGGCCCCTAAAAATTGCCCTTCCCCCAAAAAAATTCCTAATTTTTCTTTTTTGTGAATTTTCAATACTTCCCCCAAGTTACAGTTACTAGTCCTGTGACTGAAACATCTTGCGTCTAATTTTTCACTAAATGCGCCGTGATACATAGGCAAAAAGTCAACCTGGCCCCTAAAAAATCTTTAATGGCCCCTAAAAATCAAACTTGATGTGCCACATGGCTCCTAAAACTCAAAGATGAGTTTCGAACACTGCACGAAAATGATAATGCATGATACTCGATATCCTCGGAGAAACCAACACACTTATCATTCGGCGAATAATCAGACTTACGTTTTATGAATAAGTCTTTTTTGATACATCGTGGTTACAACATTTTCAAAAAAGACACGTCACAGAAAACAAAAGGGGGAAAAATATTTCATCGTGAAATCTACTGACACGAGTTGAGCGTCCACATTAATTCTAGTGGACCCCGATTCGTTGGCAAATGGGAAGTTTGTATAAAACGCTGATCTCTAATAAGTGGCTTAAAATTATAAATTATCATCGTATCCATTGTGTGATGCATGTGTAATTTTGATGAAAAAACATATATTGAAATTTCATTTCCTGACTCTATCTCGTAGTTTGTTATCCACGTTTATTACCCTTCAGAAAAAACAGCGCCTTTAAACGATAACTATTACCACTCCCTGCAGAGGCGGGCGGTATTTCACAAAAATGAAGGGGTTTTCAAGAAGGACCAATCAACAAGTGTTGACAGGTGTAGGACTAGGACAATCGATCGTGCTAGTCTTAAACTGTTAAATCATTATTGATAACCAGTGGGCTGACTATTGAAATTGATAGACAAAGCTATAGACAAAGATGACAAAAAGCAAATGGAGGGATCCTATTGGTGAATGTAGGCCTTCGCAACAGGCAAAGGACGAATAGACTAACTAACAGAATGGGCCTATTGCATGCAAGAGATACAGCCGTGCGAATAGACTTTTTAGAGGTTAAATGACACGAAAATTACGATGGTCACATTAAAAAAGTCTGAAATACACTCCTTACTGCGCAATTTGTGTTGTTAGGAACGCGCTTTTTTAAATTTCCCGCGTCTGGGGGCAGTTCTCCAACGGAAACAATTAACGGCAACTCGCGGCTATTTTCGGTCAACTAAAACTGACAACATAACCTAAAAATCGGAGCTCGTGACATCGTGAAATGAAATGTAGAAGGATTGCGTTGGATATTTAAAAGTTGATCGATTTGGTTACCGCATAAAGCGTATATGGACCAGGACCACTATAGGAGATCACGTTGGGTTTGTAAACAAACTGAGGGAAAAAATAACAACAACAACAACAACAACAACGACTCGGCATCTTCCAGAAATCACCGAGCCCGCCGTTCGCTCGTTTCCGGTGATTAGAAAACTGCCCCCAGACGCGGGAAATTTGAAAAAGCGCGTTCCTAACAACGCAAATTGCGCAGCAAGGAGTGTATTTCAGACTTTTTTAATGTGACCATCGTAATTTTCGTGTCATTTAACCTCTGAAAAGTCTATTCGCGCGGCTGTATCTCTTGCACGCAACAGGCCCATTCTTCAAAAGACTCAACAGTTGTTCCATCATTTCCCCCTTAATTCTTACTTAGTCTGTTTCAACCACCCGCTTCGACCAAATAGATCATCTCCACCTCCCCTTTACCATCTATGTCTATGGATTTGATTATCGATTTCAATAATCTGTCCGCTGATCGATAAATTTCATTGATTTATGGATGACGATTGTCCGATTAGGATTCAATAATGAAGATTTTGCATGTGTGAGGAATTTGCGATTTGGCTGTTGATTCTTATGTTAAAGTTCGTGAGAAACACGATGTTGCCACTGGTTTTCTCTGAAATCAACTCCCAAGCTCAAAAAAAGCTCTCAAGTTGATGCTCCGCGAACTTTTACAAAAGAATCAACAGTCAAATCGCAAATTCCTCACATATGCAACATCTCCATTGTATTTTCGTATTCCCGCGTCCATTTGACCGGAGTTGATTTGATTCTCTTCTGTTTGGTGATGCTCAGAAGAACGGGAGCCCTCTGCCGGAGGAACGCGCCAAGGTGTCGGGCGGGAACCTGACGATCGTGGACATCAAGGAGGAGGACCGGGGGTTCTACCAGTGCGTGGCCTCCAACGAGGCGGCCACCATCTCCTCGGAGACGGAACTCGTCATCGAGAACTCCGTGCCGCGCGCCCCCTACAACCTCACCGCCGACGCCTCCCTGTCCTCCATCAACGTCAAGTGGAACCCGGGATTCATCAAGCCCCGCTTGGAGTACAGCGTTTGGTAAGGTCCCCACTCACTCCGTATGAAACGCATAGCGCCTACAAGACTGCATGAATACTTCACGAATTGCGTCAAGCACTCTGTGGTCAGCAGCAGTCGGCGTGGAACGCATAGCGCCTACAAGACTGCATGAATACTTCACGCATTGCGTCAAGCACACTGCGGTCAGCGGCAGTCGGCGTGAAACGCATAGCGCCTACAAGACTTCACGAATACTTCACGCATTGCGCCAAACACAGGGCGGTCGGCGCACGGTGAATCGAGTGAATTAGAGAGGTCGGGCATTAAATTTTTGACTAAAACTGTAAATTTAGATGTTTATTCCATCCAATTATAAATAACAATGGGTGTCACCTGAAGGAAATTTCACGAGGAAACCAATGAAGCCACTCTTAACACATCAAAGTTTTGTATAAACGGAGTTATAAGCGTTTAAAATTTCCAAATTTTGTCCGACTTTTTCTATTGACTCGATCCACTGTGCGGGGTCACACTATACTGCTGTGCCAAGGAAAAACGCCGTATGAACTTTAAGGCACTGCCAAATTTCCTTTGATGAGATACGAATTTATTGTGAAAGTTGCAAATATTTTTCTTCTAATTTTTCACATAATTTTGTTCAAAAACCAATCTAAAATATGTGAAAATTTCAATAAAAATATCCATTACTTCTTTTCAAAATACATTTTTTATCAGGGTAAATGCCGCTTTTAGTGGTAACGTTATAGCCGGGTAGGAGAATCCTTCTTTTTCTTGAGGATTACACCACAGGAACGCCTTCCTAGAAAGTTCAGCCCTCCTCTCGAAAAATGGTAATTGTATGTAGCCTAATCGCCAATCTCCTCGCAGACTGGATTATCTCATTCACTTAATTCGATTTACATCTCACTTTTCATACTGGCAATATAATTTATCGTTGTATGATCACAATATCACTTCATGATCACAAAATGTCCTGACAGGTATCGAGCGACTGACACCCCGGAATGGCGAACGATGAAGATCCTATCACGAGGAGCTGCCGAGGCCACGATCCCAAATCTAAGCCCTGGCAGGGAGTACGAGCTCATGATCCTTAGCCAAGATCAGCATGGGGACGGAATGTTCAGCAAAGCCATTAGAGTTCGCACAAAAGGTAGGCTTATCAGAGTCACACAAGAATTCGTCACCTTCACAGGCGGATCCATCAGTTTAGCAACACCGGATTTCTTCCATTTAAACCTATGCTAAATTATCGATTCTTGTAAAAACACCTGGCCCCTCCAAGAATCGATACATTTCCACAGGTTTAAATGGAGGAAATCCGGTGTTGCCAATTTGCTGGATCCGCCAATGGTCACCTTCCGGCCAAAGTACCACAAGCGCCATGCAACGTTTCAAAATTTCCGCCGCCACTCTATTTTGTTACAGGGAAATTGTTGGTTGAATCTGATCGTGAATTTCACTGAATTTTATCGGCAACACGAAGAAAATTCAGTGAAATTTTCGGACAGCTTCGTTGAAACATTTCTCTGTATAAAACTTAAATGGCGGCAGAAATTTTGAAACGCCGCAAGGCGCTTGTGATACCTACTTCGGCCGGAAGGTGACGAATTGGACTGCATTTTGCAATTTGGAACTATAAATTCTGACTCTTCTGGAAAAACACTTATGTGCATAGGGAAACTAATGGCACATACCTACGTTGTTTTTAAACTGGGCTAGAATTTATAGTTCCAAATTGCAAAATGTGGTCCAATTAAAGATGCCCCACTGAATCAGACTGACAGAGGATTCAAAATCCATGAGTCAACATGAGAATAAAACGATTTTGTATTAAGAACACCCCCATGCAATGAGCAAATTAGTTCCCAAGTAATGTATTGATAGCTGAAGCTAATCGAAAAACGCAAGTCGGACATCGATACCTTCCAAAAAAGTTTCTACTTTACAAATCTCCGTTTTATGTTTTACTATCTGAAGAGTACCACCACACCATTTTTCCTGAAATTTTCTGCGAATTCTCTGTACCTACTCATTCAGAAATATTCACGCGAACTCAAGGAGATATTTTGGTTGGTTTCTGTCTGGGCCAAATTCACAATCACTGCAATGTTTTGTCAATGACGCCTAAATGTTTCTGCTATCATTGGCAGCGGATGAAATAGGCAATATTCAAAGACATTTTTTTCTCTTTATTTAATTGCACCGATCCTATCGTCGCGCTCGAAATGTCTCAGTAATCCTCAATTTGAATTTTAAGCCAACAATTTTGAAGTTAAACATGAAAAATTAAAATTTAAACTGATACTCTATCACGTGTAATAATAAAAAATAGTGTATATTCTTCGGAAAATCCACTAAAAAGCGACGATTGCATGCTTTGTTAAGGAGAACTCATCGGTACATCGTGCAGGACATGGCGCCCGTGATTAAAACATCCCTGGGTAGGCGGCGACGTTGATAACAAAGCTGGGATGCAACTATTCGGGCTCCACGGATGTCCGTAATGTATAATTGTATAGGCACGAAATTGAAGGCGTTTTGATTCTTTAGGCACTCAACGCTTCACCGTGGCCACGGCGCGGTGCGGCGTGCTGTCAGCGCGAAACGCGCACTGACGCCTACAAACCTAAAGGGCTACTTCGCGCATTGCGCAATGCTTGAAGTATCCCCTTAGGTTTGTAGGCGTCCGTGCGCGTTTCGAGCTGGAAACACGCGGCGGCGCACAGTGGATCGAGTCAGTAGGACAGGTCGGACGTAATTTGGAAACTTTAAACAATTACAACACTGTTTATACAAAACTTCGAGACTTTGAAAGTGGCGCCGTGGGTTTTCTGGTGAAATTTTCTTTCGAAAGCACCCCTCTTTTAAATGTGACGAAATGGACATCCAAATTAGCAGTTTTAGTCAAAAATTTCATGTCCGACCTCTCTGACTGACTCGATCCACTGTGCGGCGGGCAGTGCTGCCTGCTGCAAAGTTTCAAAAGACCAGAGCGGCACGAATACCTAGTTGTACACGCGAACAATGTGAGCAGAAAAGCCTGCAAAATGTATAAATGGCTTTGATTTTTCTCTTTTGTGCACAGATAATTCCGAAAAATTGAATTCTCTCGGAAAAAGTTCGATTTTAGAAAAAATTCAGATTCTTCCGGGGAAAACCGAACTGATTTAGGAAAAAAATATTTTTGGAGTCAGCGCTAAAAAAACCTCAAATCCGTTAGGTACCAATTTTTGGGAAATCGACTAGTGTTGACTAATGTAATTGAAAGAGGATTTTTTAGTGATTAGCGGTGTAAGCACATGAACACTACCCTGCAAAGGTCCCTTGTCTTTGTTGCTTGAATTTTTGCAGCTGACTTTAAGTCGATCTTGACTTTTTTTATGCCCAGGTATAGATTGAAACAAATTGCTTGTTACGATCATTTTCTTTCAAGAAGTAGAGTAAAGAGGTGGGAATGTCACCTTAAGAAGGGATGAGACTGTTTGTTTTGATAACTGAGTAAGCATAATTTTATGTTTCAGGAACTGGAGAAATTCAGCACGAGAAGAATAGTATTGGTAAGTTTTGAAACAATAATAATCATCATCATAAAATATAGAGATCCTACAAGTCCTTTTTTTTACTAGATCTTGGTTACAACATTAGTAGACTTTTCAGGATTGGGTAAAATTTTTTGACTTTTTAAGAACTTGCCATTTTGTTTGCAAGTTTTGCCGATTGCGAGGATAACAATAGAAAAATCAATATTAATGGATTGATAATTTCATGTTTTTAACTAAAATTATGGAATGTCCAGTCCTATTCCTAATTTCTCAACATGCTCGTCGTTTGCAGGACCTGCTACTTACCACCAGCTGGGCACTCCACACGATCTGCGAGTGGACATAGTGGTGGAGGGATATCAAGTCTCCTGGTCGCCCCCTGAAACTGGCTTCGAGACGCTGCGGCATTACGTGCTGAAGTGGTACACGGAGCCCAACCAAAGGCTTGTAGGCCAGGCTCAAGCCGTTAATAATTACTACATAGGTAAGAGAAGCTCATCCGAATTATTCACCCCATCCATCCCTTTTCATGGGCGCTTTCGGGATGAGTTCATTCGTGAAGAAGGACATCAGAATGAGAGATTTTAGTACCAGTAACCTTTGAAAAGAACTTTTAAAAAACTCTTACAAAAACTGTTGAAAATTATTTTTCAGGGGCCCTTTTTCGGCTATTTCGTTTTTTTTTGTGAAATTTATAGAAGACAGTCTTTTGAAAATATTATGCCTTTTTGAGCGTTTTTCAGCATTCCTTCGGACAGTTTAGGTCTTAAAAAACTATACTTACTTAGGTTTATACATTTTACTTTAAAAAATAGCCGAAAAGGGTCTTCTAAAACATAAATTTCAACAATTTTTAGGAGGTTCTTTTTTTTTTTTAAATTTACGAATTTATTAAAAGTTGTTTCAAATATATTTGTTGCCACTGTAATGATGGCTACGATCATTGGTTACAACCAATGAGAAGCGCAATAACTGAAGTGGAATCTCTGCCTATTCTATGTTCATGCCTCCTTTAATCCCATAACATTACTTAAATTTGGAAAATTAATGAAATTGATTGGGCCAAAAAATCCAAATCACTCTTATACCGTTAACAAAATATACATTTTTGCATTTTTTTCTCCCCAGTGAAAAACTTAGAGGAGGACAAGACTTACTACTTTCAAGTGATAGCTGTATCAATGAGTGATCAAGAAACTGCAAGTAATAAGCATACCTACAGAGTTCCTATTTACCGTAGAAGCAACTTCTTCAGCAACGGACTGTTAATCGCTGTGCTGTGTATCATCTTAGTTTTAGGAGCCTTATACTATCTGAAAAGAGTTTTCTTCAAAAAAACTAGCATCATGCAGGAGCTGTAATTTAATGGACTACCAGTCTCACAGTATTTCAATGATTAGAATGACTCTCCTGAGCGATATTTATTCAATCGAAAATGATGCATGGGCCAAATTCTGAGAAAGCTAATTTTCCTCTGTCGAACATCAGTAAGACTGGAAATTACAATGTTCCTGAAAAAGAGTCCAACACTATTACTTTAGCAAAGTAATTTTTAGCTCCCCTTCGATGTCTAGAACTCATATTCATCGACCTTTTTTGACTGCCGAAATAATCTCATGTATACATACTTAAAGGATCAGTAAAAGAGCTGTTGTAACATAGTATTGAATGAATGTAAGTGAAAATAAAGAGATAATATAATCTTAAAAATTGTAAATACGTAAATAAATAATCTACGATAATTCTTTGGTAGATTTAATTTTTATTTTCACTGATACCTCCTAAGAGTATTTTCTAGTAGAGATGCCTTGGCACTCAGGCAAATAAAGAGGCGGATAAAAAGAGTAACACTAGTTAGAGTTCTCTAACTTGTGCCTCCAATTGCAACCTTACAAGCTTCTCTGTATGTTTTTTTATTTCATTGTAGGAAAACCTATTACTATTTTTTAATCTTCCTGCTGATTTTTCTATGGCTTACAAACAATATTCTGTAAAAAGTTAGATTAGCTGAAACAATGCTGACATTTTTCTGAAAGATTGCATTCCCATAGACTGCCATCCAAGTTATGTTTTATTGATATGCTCCAATATCAAAGAAAAAAAGGCGAATTTAGGAAAGTGCTTTATTATCTATTCAACTCCCTCAAGAAGTTTGAAGCTATGCTAAATTGCAATGATCTATAGTATTTTAAGTGTTCCCAGAGAAACCCATGCAATAATTTTAAAAATCAACTTTTGAAGTGAGTAATTTTTATTTGCGTATAATAAGTTAGGTAACAACATTACAGGCATTACTAAAAATTATAATATAAAAACTTGACTTCAATTGATGCAAATTATGATATTGTCCGTTTACATTTAATTAAAAACCACTGAGAAAAATGAGGATAAAATCGGTATAACTGCACTGTACCTAATCAATCGAGTGGAAAAATAACTCTCAAGTAAAAATAATGTGAAACATTATCTGAACAGATGAAAAAGTAAACTACAGTTATTAAAAAAAAAGCCAATACTAATATATTTCTTTTTGTGTGATAAGTGAAAAACTTGATTATTAGGTATTTTACAGGCAAAAACAACAAAGAACCCTTTTTTCAGGGTTCTGTACTTAATGAATAGTCCAACAATGTGCAATAAGGGTGCGTAGAGCATGTTTTTTTTTTTTCAAACAGAGTAAAGTCTTGATATAATTATTAACTTTTAAATTTTTAAATTAAAATTGTTCAGAATTGCATTGACTGCCGTTGAAAAAAAAAAGGCTAAATGAAATTGAGGAAATATCCTTCAAAATGATCCAATCCTGTTTCTTGAGTTTCTTCTTAGTTATTGTAAGCAATTTTGAGTGAGTAAGAAACAGTCATCTAACTTTTCTAGAAAAGCAGTTATGACTAGATGATTACAAAAAATACAGAAATAAATGCACCTAATTCTACATTCGAAATAGCCCTCGCATCTTTCCTCTGAAGCAATAGCAAGACTTTGCTCACAGGCAAATTTGTTCAGCTTTGGGGCAGCGACTTTTGACCCCCACAAGAGCCTTCATGAGATGGCAGGTGTATAAAGTGATTGATGAGCAGATGGTCATTAACAAAATCACCAAATGATTACAAACCCAAGAACTTGCAAGAGAATTCAATATGAAGCGAAACAAGGAATTGAAAATTTGAATACATTCAAGAGCATTTCAAGGTATTACAATTTCTGACTATATAAAATATAATGAACAAAGAATTGAAGGCAAAGCTTGATGAATCAAATATGTTTTTATCCTTCAAGTTTTTTTTTTTTATAGATAATACACAAGTTACATTATAATGGTATGTACATTTAACTGAAAAATTGGACTTGGGCTCAATATTTAATTATAGACCCAAAACGTTTATAAATTAAAAATAAAATAATAAGAGCTAGAGAAAAAGCAAATAAAAACAATGAAACTGATCAGACAAGTGTACAAGAAATGTATCACTGGAAGCAATCGAATTGCAACCATCTTAAATCCACAGTATAAAATGTGATAAACATGAGAATATTCATGGACATGTGTATTTTTTTTAATATCTTGGCCACAAGGTAGATGTACCACCTCCCTCTCCCCCTCTAAAGTTTCGGTTAGGTTGGAAAATCGACACTCCTAGGGTGGTGTTTGGTTCTATTTGTGCAATAATTAGTTATCTAAAATTTAAGGAGATTTGGAACACTTTGAGATTAAGCTCAAAGCTATCCCAATTTCAGAAAAATGTATTGTAACTATGTATGTAACTTGCATTTCTGCTTATCGGTCTGTTTTCCCCTGATTGAACCAACGTGATTGTTTCCGATATTTCGGTTACTTAGAGCCTCATACAATGATGTTTCGGATTGGTTTAAATTCTGGATAACTTAATACTTAATGAATAGAATCAATTACTCCCATGAAAACGTTGATTCTCTAATATGACGAAAAGAAGCCGTACCCTATCCCCTCTCATTTAAAAACAAAATGGAGCTCTTCATATTCTTTTTTGCTTAGGGAGACTAATGCCTAAGAAAATTTTCTTCATTCTCACTGCCTTGATAAACAAAAAAAGGTTCTGTACAGACTACAACAAAAATTAGATTTACTGACTTTTCCATGTGACTGAGACCATTTATAATGAAACAGTTAAGCGTAGTTTTCTTACTTAAAATATAATTTAGATTTCACAAAGCACATGGATATGTTTTGTTAATAACATTAACATAAAAATATCTGAAATAGATTCAATGACCAAAAATAATATTTCAACCAATTGTTTATTCTTAATATATGACAGAAATGGGGAGTTGAAAAGTTTTACCCCTGTGTTCTATTACATATTTGTTCTCATGGCACCAAAAAAACGCACCAATTTCGGTGAAAAAATGAGAAACTTTTAAGCTAGGGTCAAAAAATGTTTAACAAAGTTTCCCTACAGATACTGATGGTTTGCTGTTGTTTGGCCTTAAAAGCTCGCTGCAATGTCACAGATTAATCCTGGTAATGGGTCCATGAGCTCTGCGTGGCACATAGTGCGTTAAGTTTCATGTATTTTGTGAGGCCCAACGATTCTAATCAAGGTGAAAAATAACATTAATTTAGATGAACACAATTTGTTATTGGGTAATTTATGAATGATTGAACACTGATAATACTTGACTTTCTAGCTATCTGAAAACATGTGAGCTGCACCAAATAAATAACCTTCAAGGTGCCTAAGGTAATACATCTGCGGATCACTTAAAAAAATTATGTAAATTAATATGCCGAATAGAATAGATAATATAAGTAGCTCTTCCTTCTAGAACTCCAATTTCAAAAAAAAAAAAAAAAAAAAAAGGACGGAGAAAAAAATAATACTTTCATAAACAAAAGACAAATGACTGCAAAAAGCAAAATTTACGAAAATTAAAAATAAAAATAAAAAAAATGAAATTTAGAGATCAGGTCGTAATATAATTAAAAAACATATGAATGGTGAAATTGCAGGAACACATATCTCCGTTTGCGACTTAGCAGACCTCTTGTCATGCTATAGTTTTTAGATGAAAAAATAAGCATTGTCATTTTTTTTTTAAAATTTCCTAATTTTTCTTTTCTACAAGAAGAATATTAGGTGGAAAGTTTAGAAAAGACTGTTGGTTTGTTCTTTTTTGATAAAATAAAATAGAAGCAGAGATTTTGAAACACTACAAACGAGATATGCATCTCTGCTGAGTTATTGTTGATTTATTCTTGTACTGATACTTTAAATATTTTATTACAAGACTACTTCGTATGTCTCCAAAGACAAGAAAGAAGACAAGTTATTTTGTATGTATCAAAATTTGATTAAAATGAATCTCCCAGAACTTTCTCTGGGGATCTTCCTCTGAAGTTTGACTTATTAATTAAGGGATTTGAAGTTTAACATTACAGTAATGAGAGTAAACCCTTGAGGACTAGAGATAATAAGTTCAAATTCAGCGATTTAATCCTAAAAATCAATTATTTAAGTTATACATTTGAAACGATGAGATAGCTACAAATAATGTGTGTAACAGAGAAAATACACCGTAGACCAAAGTTATGACTAAAAAAACTTTTGGGCATTTTCTGAATTTTTGAACTTTGGTTTTCATTCCAGAAGTTCAGAATTATTCCTGTTGTTCTATCAACTACACAGATTAGAGCTTTCGAATTTTTAGAACAACTTTTTTTCAAGCTATTGAAAAAAGTGAAAGAAAGTCCTCAACAGAGAAACTTCGCTGTGGAAAATAAGAATTGTGCTTAGATATCTGAGGCTTTTAATCACTTTTAAAGCGGATATAGATGCAAATATTGTCTGCATAATTTGGCTTTTGAGGAAAAAAAAATAGAGGGAGCTGGCTAAAATTTAAGAGAGATATCTCAACCTTGTTGGTTTTATTCCAGAAAGAGAATGATCTATGAAAAATGATAGGATGAAAAACTGACATACTATTTCTCCTCCAAGATAACACCAGAAAAATTTCATAAATCACTCCAAGAGTTTTTCTCTGCGTCCAATGACTTGTTTTTGAAATTTTGCAAATTTATTATATGTTTTTTACTGGTTCAGTATTTATATAGGAATGAGATCATTTTTACATTTCCAACGGCAGGGCTTGTTTTTCATGGCTGCCTGGCTTTGAGACTAAAAACATTACTGCACAGGTTTTTCTTGCTTCTTCTTAAGGAAATAAATATCAAAGAAATTTTAGTGCCTAGAGATTATGAATAATTCTTACCAGTTAGACATTAAAAAATTACTTATGAATGAGGCAAAAAGAGGAGCCTCTTGGAAGACTTTATTTCTCGTCCTTATAGCTACTAACTTCAAGAAGTATCCATACAATGCCATTCACTGATTCAAAATCAAGAAAACTACAGTTTTCAATAGATTCTCCATCACTGACTCATTTCAGGTACTTTCTTAAAAAAACATTGTCTTTAAAAATGTGATATGAGATGAGACCACAGTAGAGAGTAGAAATTAACAGGGGGGAGGGATGCTTAAAGCAACTCTTTTTCTACAAGACTAAAGAATTTGATCCTTAGCCCTTTGGTCAGACTCTTTCCTCCCTAAAGAGATAAAATTAGCTTACAACTCAACTGCTCAAAGCAATTAGATATTGACTGTCTTTGATGCTTTTACTTCTAACTTAGAAGAGAGGATAAGTACAGAAAAAATGAGCCAAACTAAAAAAGGAAGTACAACAGATTTACTTACGCTGAAAAAACTAGCAAGTAACTTACGGTGATGGAGTTAAAAGAAGGTAGTTATAAAGAGAAGTAATTAAATGACTGACAATTTTGAAACAAAAAATAATTGTTCTGAAAACCAACAGGAGGACATCTAAGATGACCAAACGTGGCAGACTGTGATAACGTCTATAGAGAATGTTCCTCATGTCATTCAGAAGATTTTCCTTCTTTTTGAGCATTGAAGAATTTAGTTACTTAAGATAACTAATTAGGAATGCAAAAACGAATAACAGCCAAAATAAAAAAGGAACAACCTTATACTTTGACGTCTTCATACTTGATTTCCCCTTCAAAGCGAGGTTTCTTTGAATACTTCAGACCAAACTGATCTGCAAACTCAGCAATTATTCCTATTGCCTGAAAGAAAAATAAAGAGTAAATCAATTAATGCTGATACATTTCAAAGAATATAAGCGTGAACATTCAAAATCCAATTTATAAGTGAGAAAATATTGTTGTTCGTCCAAAAAACAATAAAAAACCAAAATCCACTCTAGTCAGGTCGACTAGTGAGCTGGTTTTAAAATATTTTACAATAGAAGAATTTTCCTATATGGTCACATTTTTTCAAACAAGATTCGCCGTGCCTTGTGTCAGAGGAGAAGAAGAATGTGTGTGAAACCAAGCTCCAATTATTTGCCTGACACCAAAGGTTGTTCTCCATGACTAGTATGATCCAAGCTGATTATAGTTTTCCACAGAGCAGTTTAAATTTAAGACTTGTAGTTTGACTGGTGAAATTACTTCTCAATTGTCGATTAATTTTGAAAGTTTCCGGTCTGTTGAATGTATTCTGTGTTAAATTGAATGAGGGCACGAGTTTTTCAAACGTATGATTCTTCTCAAGTCTTGTGGTCCATTTCCTTCCATTATTCCCTTCATTATTTAAGACATGATAAAAAGCATATTGAACCATTACTAAAATATGGTAAAAAGACTGTCCTTTCTAGGCGCAAAATTTTTGATCAACATAAAATTGAACTTTGAGGAATAGAAAATTTTGCTGATAACGAAAAAGTTGCAAAAAATGAGCAAAATCTCTTTTAAAAAAGTAAAAAAAATGTATTTTTCTCATTCTCAAATAGAAATTAAAATTTATTACGAGAGCTTGACTTCCATTGAAACTTTTTGACTCTTCAGTAGAGCCTTTGAGAAGTTCTGTCTTCCTCATCAGTGGAGTTCTTACCGTGTCCAGTTGTTCTTTAGTATGACCGGCGGAAATGCAGAATCTTAATCGACCCATGTACAGTGGTGCTGCTGGGAACCCAACGCCAACTACAGCAACATTCCGTTCTTTGAACTCTTTTAGCACAACATGGAGCTTTGAAAATAAATATACCATTAGCGGAACCACGGGTGAGTTGTCATTGCCGAAGATTATCACACCTATTTGGTGTAACTTTTGACGGAAGTAACGAATGTTTTTCCTGAGCTGACCTATTCTTCTCTGGCCTAAAACAGTCAAAATGATAAAATTAATAATTACACAATCATAAAGTATTTAAAATCAGAGTTAAGCTAAGAATCTTTGCATAAAATGTTCTTCTTTCCAGTAGGAAAGTCTTCTTTTTCGATTATTTTAAGTAGAATCACTCTCCAGTCTGCATGCGGAACTCTTACTGTCTGGATGGTGCAAAATATTGCGTTCTTTCTTGACACCAAAATTTTCGGGGTCATTTGCTACTTTTAGCAGCTAATTATAATTTTGAACATCATTAAAGAACATGAAACTTTCCAAGAAAAAAGATCGCAAACTGCATTATCGCCAAGCCAAGTTTTTAAAAATGTCTTGTTTTGAGAGAACCTTTTTTTGGCTTTTTGCGTCTGACTCTGTGACACACTTTATGCAGCATGCTCAAGGAGACAAGAACATTAAATAAACGGTTTTCCATTGTAGAGAAAAGTAACTGCTGCAGAGGGTGAAAAAATTACGGGGTCATTTTAAATAGGATTAAATATTTATCCTTTGAAGGGCTGTGAGTCTCCTTGAACAAAAAAGTCAAAAACCTGATCACCCCGTGATCAATTTAGGGGCCCCTACAAGGATCAGCTTTGAGGACTTTTACTGTCATTCAAACAGGGGAAAAATGGAACTCAAAATGCACATGTTGTCAGCCTCAAAAACAATCCCTTCGTAAGCAATGTGACGGCTCAAAAACTAACCTTCATCTGTGCCATCTTCACCCATGATGATTTGCATTGTGGTGGAGATTTGCCTCATAATTGGAGGAGACATACTTGGTGCATAGTGTGTGCCGTGGCTGTTTCGCCGAATGTAATCAATTACTTCCTGGAACCCAAAAATAATGGAAAAAAAAAAATTAGAAAATAATAAAATCTAGCTTAGGTAATGTACTTAAAAGTTCTGGTGAACTTCGAACAGCTTTTAAGTGTTGGCAGATTTCCCTCTCTCACCTTAAATTTATATTTGGTCAAATTGTTAATGGCACAACCAAGTAGAGGCTACAAAGCAACCTTCGACTGGTGCTATTTCAGAATTAGAGGACCTGCTGCCCCAACTACTGACAGAGACTTTGAATTGAAAATGGAAGTATTTAAGATGAGAAGTTTGTGCAGAATTTTTTGCATTCATTAAGCTGCCCATCGAAGTGGCCGATTTCATGGTTTTTGCACTATCGTTTCACAGTGGCGAGCAGTGAGCGTATGTCAGCAAAAACCATGGTGAGAATGCATACTTGTGTGCTACAGAGCCGCGGCTCACTCCAGAATGTGTTCACAATTAAAAAGGTTAGATCAGCATCAGCTGAATTAAACACACAAAAAATCTAAACAGTGTTATCAGATGAGGCAGAAGTTAAATTCGGAGATCATACTTTTCACGTAGTGATAGTTAGACCACATTTTGCAATGAGGAACTACAAATTTTGGCTCAGTTTAGAAACAATGTAGGTACCATTACTCCCTGAATGCACATAGGTGTTCATTCAGATACACCAAAAATTGTAGTTCCTAATTGCAAAATATAGTCCAATTAATAATGAGCGACTTGTTAAGCATAAAATTTCCCAATTAGTGACTAATAAATGTTCAGGTGATCAAGACAAGTTTTTGTAGATTAGGTTAGGATTGCCAAACCAATTGCTCCGCTCTTCGGCTTTCAGTCCTCATTGGGCGAGTCTGAATGTTGACTTCTGACAGTAAATTTTAGACTTTAAGGAAGATACAAGGGGTCTCTAGAATATATTGTCTCTGATTATTAGTAACCACATTTACCTGAACAGAGCTGTAAGAAAACCTTACATTAATTTACACACAATCCCTCAAACTATTATCAATCTTTCTCATATGTGATTTCTGTTGTTCTAAAGCATTTGTTTTCTCCCTACAATGGCAAGCAGGCAAAAACAAATGCTTTGAAAAAACAGAGCTCACAGTGGAGAAAGATTGATGGTGGTTTGTGATTGTTTATATGATTAGGTTAGGTTTTTAAATATGCTGTCAAGAGAAACCTTGTCACTCACAACAAAGAAAAAAGTGCCCACGGACTCAGAGACTCTGAAACTGCGTTGTACAAAATATGGAGATACTGTGTCAAGGAGTGGATTTCAGATTTTTTTGGACGTAATATTTATCATGATTTTTAGGTGGTTTAACCATAGATTAGTCTATTCATTAGTCTACGTCTCTTGTGTGCAATGGACCCATTTTTAGCCTGAAACATGGTAAAACTTTGGTAGCTTCCTCTCAAAACTGCAACATTTTTGTACTATTTCTGTGCCAATCTGTTAAAAAAAAACTTTTTCTTGGACAGTGCTTTTTAATTTGTGATTAAGGAGTTTTTTTATGTCAGGGTTTCTTTTCCTGCAGACAGTCACCATGCCTACACAGTTATTTTCTGATATATTTTTGGACAAGAGGATAGAGGAAGGAGGGACAATAAATACCTGAGATCCTGCTAGATAGCCACCGGCTGCATTGAAGGATTTAGTAAAAGTTCCCATTAGAATGTCTATTTTTTTTGGATCGATCCCAAAGTACTCAGTGACGCCTCTTCCTCCAGGGCCTAAGGCACCAACACTGTGTGCTTCATCCACGTAGAGGTATACCTGGAAGAAATTCGAGATCAAAAGGGATTCAGAGATCAAATGAAATGATGTAAATAATCATATTAAGTGTCACTACTTATCAGTCTTATCATGAGTCAGTGATAAAAAGATTCAATATTGGATACAATTGAATAGCAAAAGTGAAACCTTGCTAAGTCGGTTTTCATCGGGACCGAGGAAATTTACCGAGTTAAGCGGGTTACCGACTTACGCGGACTGCCACTTTTCCTGCCGCGCTTTTTCAAATTTCGCGCCCTAAATTGGACAAACGCAAACGTGCGTGTAGAGTGACTTGTAGGAGTGTTTAGGAGAGCCATTTGATCGAAGAAAATGGTACTAAAGAGTAAAATTTCATGAGATGCACTTGAAATTGCGTGTTGTAAGTGTCAGGGCATCATGAGGTCATCGGGTTAATCGTATGTGGGGGTGCCGCGGCACCCCATTGCGTATCACCCCCCGCGCACCCCACGCGGCATGCCGCGCGGTGATGCGCCGCGGCCACCCGCTATGGCGGGTCGTTGAACTGAAAATGCAACGTATCAATACTCGCTAAAATCTCCGAAAAACTCTGCGGAAGATTCCTGAGGGGAGCGGGGAAGGGCAATGCAAGATGGTAGGGGGAGAGGGGCCGGTACCGACTTGACCTGTCAACTCATCGATGCGTGAAATTGCTTAATTATGCATGCGTGTTTTCACACGCGCGATAAGATAACACGCGGTATCAGATATCCTATTCTCTACTGTTCTCATCTTTCGTGTCGTTATCGAGTGTTTTTGATTCCTTATCTCTCTATTTCCGATGTCGTTTCTCGCACTGCGCTGCGCTTTCTCGGAGATTCGCTCACCCTTCGTGGCCTAACTTGACCCGACCCGCACCGCGCACGGAAACACTACCTACGCTTGATCACGGGTGACGATCGAAGAAAAACAGGTCGAGATGGAAAAATTTCACCGAGTTAAGCGGGTTCAGACCGAGACTTATTTAGCATTGTGTTATATGGGTGATAAACGGGACCGGGCGATTCTACCGACTAAAGCGGGTTACCGGCTTATCCGGAAACCGACTTAGCGAGGTTTCACTGTATAATCATCATAAAATAAAACAAAAAAATATCCCGGAGCAAAGCTGAAGATAAGCAGCAGATATGCACTAAAGACATTCTGGTTTGTAAGGAAGCCATTTTCAGTTGACAAGATAGAGAAAAATTAAAAATTAGAATTATCAAATAAAATTTGTGATGGTTTCAGGACAAATTTTTCCCCCAGCACTGATCAACTTTTCACCTGCGCTTTTTCTGATTTAATTTTTAATAATGCCTGCATTGTAAAATGTTCTTCTCCTTCCTTCATTATGATATCAGCTCAATTCAGCAAAGACTTTTTCTTTTTACAAAGCTTGGCATAGGGGGAGGGGTGTAATTCTTTTGGACTTTTCAGCACTGAAACTGAAAATAGCGACCGTTTTTTTCCATAGCTCTGGAATCCTATATTATCAAGAAATCCTTACCTTGTATTTTTCTTTCAACTTCAATAATTGAGGCAAATGCACTATCGAACCTTCCATGCTGTATACTCCCTCTACAATGACTAGAATTTTTTTCCATGGTTTTCCTGTTTTTGGTTGGCCCTTAATGATGGCAGTCCTTAACTTCCTCTCTAGGTCCTTCATATCTGGAAAATAGAATCAAGTTACGCTTAAAACCTTTGACCATGAAAAAGTAAGTGACACAGTCCTGGTGTGCAGGATTAATGATCAAATACTTGACTTTGTGACAGAAAACAGCGCTTAAACTTAATTTACACAGAATGACAGATTTAACTCGAATAAAAACACAAGGATAGAGCTACATACAATGCAGATTAATTAAGAAAGAAAAATGTAATTTATGACTCGCTTGCACATTAAAATTTCAATGTGCAAAGGAGGCGTAAATTATATTTTTTCTTTTCAATTTATTAACTCAAATAATGTCTAACTTGAAGTGCTGGTATACTTAAATTAGATATTAATTTTAAGTACTATAATACTTTGACAGTGGCGTGTGGTCCGGATAAGCAAGGCAAGCACTGCTTGCCCAAAGATTCCAAAAGAAAGAAGAAAATTACACCTGTTATATGCATGTTTTACATTCTGGCAAATATAATTTATAAAAGGTGTTCAGTATGTAAATTGCATTAAAAACAGAAAGAGAGAGAGACAGAAATGCGTATAGTGCCACTAAAGTATAGGAAAGCAGCAGAGCGGATGGAGGTGGCGCAGCGCGCTGCGCGGCCTGAACACGGGCCGACTCATGCGCTGGAGAATCGCTTGCGATCAGCTGAGCGGAGAGCCACTGCTCGGCGCGGCGGCGGAATCAAGGCGGGCGGGTAGAGCGGTACGTTCCGAGTCCGAGCCCTTCGCTGCGCGATCACAGCTCGCTTCTCTTGGCCATCTCTTGGCCCGTCGTCACCCGCAGCGCGCTGCTTCTGCCTCCGATACGCTATCTTGCTCCCTCTTTCCGTCGCGGTTGTAATTGCTCCTTCGGAGCAAATGCCCTTAAATTCTATAAAATTTCGCTCACTTGATCTAATTAGTGATGAATTAGAAAATTCTCAATCATGTTTTAAACGCAGAAAACTCTAATTTTCTAACTTATTTTTCTAATTTCTAATTTTAAACTCAAAAAATTCTAAATAATGTAGAATAAAGACTACAGTACCTCAAATAAGTGGCAAAATTAGGAGTTAAGAGCATGGAGCCGTCCTCTAATGCTCAATATAGTTCGAAACAAGTTGAGTAAACGAAATCATAAGTAAGAGAGAAAGTAATTTCAGTTTTTCAAGACGTTCCATCAGATTTCATCCGAAAAAAGAGCAAATACCGTAAAATTTTAACAATTTTCTAGGGAGGCTCCCTGAGGAGGGGAAGAGACTACGTTAACCCCCCCCCCCCCCCCCGGATGGCGAACGCTAGAGCTTGCCCTGTCACTAAACCCACCGCACGCCACTGTACTTTGATTATTCACTAGTCACTTATCCAGCGCAGCAATAAGGTGCACTGCCAACAAAACAGTACTTGCCTCTCAAAGAGAAATTTAGCAACTTCTACAAGATTAGCATGTGGATGATGACCATTAGATAGTTTTAAAGGGGTAACTAACTAGTAACTACATTCCTGCTGTTGAATTTTCGTTGCTTTTTTCATACATATGTAGTTTATGCAATTGGATGTTTTTTGACAATTTTTGATCATCCAGAGTTTCCGGTTTCCAACACAAGTGTTTGTTACCATCCAACCGATAATCAAAGCATTACTGTAGGTTGAGTATTCAAAATGGTTGAAAAATTGTGTGATAACAGTTTTATTGACAACTTTGCACTTGAGAGTGAGTGCAACCGTGATTGAATAATGCATAACAAATGGGTGGCTTTATGTTACAGAGGTTGAAAGTGGAAAAGAATTCAAGAAAGAGAGGAGAGGATGAAGAATAGAGAGAGAGCCCACTAAGGTTAGCTTTACTTTATCAATGACACTGAGAAAAGTATGAATTACCAGAAAACTGATGAGAGACAGGGAAGCAGGAGACTAGAGACATGAAGAAATGTATGGGTTAGGGGACGATAAGAGTGCTACAGTGGTGATAGACGATTGGAGAGTGCACTGCAGTATGGCAGGGAACAGGTGGAGGAATAGGTCAGGAGGTTACTCAAGGGGGTTGACAAGTGACATGAAGGGCAGTGCGTGGGCTGTCAATAATTTCAACAATGACTTGATTTAATTCACGAGGTAAAGTTTCAAATCCTTGCATTCGTTTGGTTGAGACTTACTATTATGTTTGAAAACAGTGATAGAGGCTTTGGATAGTCTCAGACTGAGGATCAGCGAGGCATGATTTTTCTCGTCACTGAAAACTAAACAACCCTCTGAGAGAATGCATGGTAAATTTAAAACGTTGGTGCCAAAACCCATTCCGAAAATGATTGCATCGTCCACTCCTAGGAATCTTGCGGTCAATTTTTCCAACTCGAAATGTAATGGAGAGAGCCCTGAAAAGAATCAAAGTAAAACTACAGATAAAATACTGCTCTATTTTAATTTCCGGAAAAATTGGTAGTTCTGAACTACCAAAAGGAAAATTAGAACCATCAGTGACATTTTTGCAGCATCAGAAAAACGAAATGAAAGTTAGATTACACGATGCATCAAAAAACTTTTAACTCAAATAATGAGATGGAAAATTGATTGAAAAGTTCAATTTTGTTCGAAAAGTGTACTCTGAGCTGTGATATACTAATATTAACCAATGTTTAGAACTTTTGGCAAAAATGTCATTAAACTTCTTTATCTATGATACTCTTAAGTTTTTTCCTTTACTTCTAAATTTTAAGCTAATTATTGTATAATTCCTACCAGGAGACAATTTATTTTAAAAACCCCACACTCCTGTCTCTCATATAGTGTAGAAGTTCCTTTCAGAAGTCAAGACTCAAATTGGCCCAATTATAACCGATGAACAAAGAATTGAGCAATTGGTTCAGCAATCCTAGCCTACTTTCCAAAATTTCGCGAAGCAAAGTGCTCATCAGTCATCATTAAGCAAATTTTATTGTCATGGGAACGGAGTTCCCCATGATATTACAATCGTTCCGTTGCTTTCGCTATGGGATTCCCTATACCTCTGCGACCTTGAGCGTTTCGCCCAGTCTCCGATTTTTGGTTGATTTTCCGATGTATCAAAAACCGTTGTATTTTTTAGCCAATCGTGTCTCTACGTCAAGTTGTGTTGATTGCTAAAATTCGCTTTCAGCGAGTTTTTTTCCACCTTCAGATGTCGTGTCTGACTGGTAAATCTGCGCAGAACCACGAAGTTCCGTTTTTAGGCAAATTCCTTTTTTTGGGAGGTTCTGATTGGTTATTTTTTGCCATCAGTTTTCTGTTCGTTGGTGCAAAAGATCGCCTACCTCGTTGCTCTTGAGAAGCCGCCATTATCCCACCTCAAATTTGAAAAATAGAAGTAAAGAAATAATAACCATCGTACAAGGTGGAAAATTGTTCTGGAGGACTCGTTACGGATATATGAGCCAAAATCGGAACTCGATTGATTGATTTATTCCATGAATACAGAAATATTGCCTGAGCTTACTGCCGCGATGGCAAATGCCTGCTGATATGAACCTTGAGACACATGATAGCATAGGCAAACAATGTCTCACAGAGAAAGGCGCTTAGCTCGTTTTTCCAGAAGCTACGAAGACGCGAATCGCCGAATCGCTCAAGGACAACTCTTGTGATAAGTCCCGCCCATCGTCCGAGTCTTTAAAATGCTATTTTTTCTCATGCTGTCGCTGATCTGTGATAGCCTAGTTGACTGAGGCGCCTCATATTTTGATAAGGTGCGGGCAATAGGCGATCGGGAGTTCGATACCCGACGATAGGTGTTACTTTTTAATGGTTGTATTGAATGTTTTAGACCAATTATCAAAAAATAATTAATACTAGATGATAAATGTACGAACATTTTCTCGTGAGTTAATATGTTAAACAAAAATACTGGAATATACCTCCTTCATATAATCAGCCACATGTTCCCCCAAATTAATGACGTTATTTTCTTTTTTCAATAAAGTTAATTTGCATTCAACGTTCGTAAGTTAAGCAAAAAGTACCTATTGATACAAATAGAAAGATATGAAAATAGTATGTCTAACATTTCAGTTGTTTTTTTTTTAATTTATTTTTTGTTTTTTTGTTTTTTCAATACAACAAATTGACTGGGACTAGAATCATTGTATCTCTGAAGACAAAAGCTAAGTTTTTTGATACAGAAATACTAATATATTCATCCTTTATATAATCAGGGAGATGTTGACCCAAATATTGATGTATATTTTCTCTGTTCGCCCAAATCAATGATGGTATTTTCTTTTTTCAATAAAATTAATTTACATTCCACGTTCTTAAAGCAATATTTTCTCCAAAATTCAGCAAAAAATAACAATTTATACCTACGCAAAAAGTAAATAAATAAATAAATAAATAAAGCAATGACATGAAAGTAGTATAGGTAGTACACATCTAACATTTCAGTTACATCTATTTGAATGAAAAAAATGGCAACTTAGGGAGCACATAGGTCACTTATGATGCGTATTCGGGCATATGCGTAGAGTAGAAATATCATACTTTACGCCGAAAAAACGAAACTGAAAGTTAAATGCGTTAACTTCCGAAAACCATACATAATCCAACGAAAATAAATAATTGGTAAATATAACAGCTTTCTTGTATGCAAAGAAAAAAAATTAAAAATGTTAAACAAGAGATGTCGACACAAAATTACATAGCCCCTTCAATCCTGAAGATACTACAAACGAACTGTACCTTAACATTTTCATATCCCAGAAGCAAAAGTTCCCATGACGAATATTGCTATCGCTAGCGATTGCAAAAACCAACTTGTTTGAATTTATGCTCAATAAGTTGCTCATCACTCATCAATCATCATTCAATGAAAAGTAGCACTGAATTACGGATTTAATTTTGCATCGCCTGTTTACATTCCTTTGATTGTCGGTGTGGGGCTTGAAAGATTTATCGCCTCTATTTCTGCACTGACAACGTGTGTTTCAGCCACAACTGTGAATAGGAAATGTAAAAATACCCAAGGAAATGAGGTTATGTTACTTAATTCTTTCTGATGATGCATGCACAAATCAATGGTCTTAAAAGATTATATTCTTAGAGTGACTTAGCAGAGAGATAAAAAACTCTAAAGGAACTTTGAGAACTGGCTTCAGATAAGGGAATCTCCATGTTCATGGTGAAATTTGTTTTCAGACTTGGAAAGACAAATATGATTTTTACCATATTCTGATGGAGAACTACACAAAGAGACACCATATGTTTTGATAGTTTCTTTGACAGCTTCAATGCTTGGTCCAGAATTTTCAGCAAAGCCAAGATAATTGTAAGATCCTAGATTGATACATTTGCTTGTTGTGCCACTGAATCTGAAATAAGAAAACATCAAACCATTATTAATTGGATGCCCCTAAGTTGAGTCTAAAATTGGATTAGCCACTTACTCAAAGCATGGAATGTTTCAAGTTTATTCTTGCTGATATCATTATGAATAATTTGCCTAAGTCAATCCACTTGCTGCTTTCACAACTGAAATGGAAACGAGATTTGAAAAAGAAACTTTAAAAATAAAAGAAACCAAGATTATTGAGTAATTATGATAATAAAATACAGAACAGCAAATATTTTGAGCATTTCGATAGATAGTGACTTAAAAGTCATTGCGTCCGATGATCATATGCCGCATGATCATTCTTCTTTGATAAATTTTTTGTTTCCAACCATCTATGATTCATTTGAAACTGGTGATTCTTTTATTCTATCTTCAGTATTATTGGGAATTTGAGGCTATGTTCTGTTGCCCCAAAAATTATGTTTCTCAGCCACCAACATTTTTGAAATGACGCACAATCTGTTTTGAAAATGAGATATTTAGGAAATATCCTAGATGAGACGGAGGAGAGAGAACCATTAAAAAGGAAAATGCAAAGCCAATCTTACTGGAAAGTCCAATTAGAATCATGACTGACTCGGTCCTTCAGTTCAACTTCCACGCCTGGTACACTGCATATTGGGCGATTCCAACAATCTTTGACACGTCTATAGACATACTGTGAGTAGAATAGGTCGAACTTGTTGTACAGTGGAGCATAACCCTGAAGCAAAAGTTTCGTGTAATTAGATATTGTGATGAAACAACATAGTGATGTTATCACATTACTTTTAAAATACATAGCAATGAGGACTGCTCTACCATGTATCTAGTTTGCAACATTGTTGTAAAATATCCGTCACATTTCACTTCCTTAAAGAGTGTCCATCTTTTGAGATTCATTATTTTTGCGCCAAATTTCATTTGGTTTTACTTCACTCATTTGAGAATATTTTCTGGATATTTCACACTAAAACAAAAAGTCTGGGTATTATTCTTTCTAAAGATTAATAAAGTACGAGCAGAAACTTTCAAACAACACAATCAAGATCCATGATTGTGTGGCTTCATCATTGATAAGTTTGCAAATTGCCTAGAGCATTACGGAAAGAAAATAAACATGGGCTCCCATTGGAAGAATATTAAGATTGAAGCCTCGATGAGAAAAACCGTTCAAAATGAATTTCCAATTCCAGAAAAAATTTTGGACATGAACAAAACAGGAGTTTTAAACTATCATTCTTTTTCGAAGAAAGCATGTGCCTAGGTAGGTATATCACTGGCAGGAATTGTGTTGCTTCTTTCTATAATGCTGACAGGTAACAATTATGCACAGAGAGAAAAATGCAAGGACTGGAAAAAAAATTGATGTCAAAATGCATTCTGTACTCTAACTTTTAGCTATGATAGTTTAAAGCTTTCACTGGTAGGTTCGCAACTTAGGCTTAACTTGATAGCTTCCTGCGGTACCTGATGGGTCTGTTACATACACTCAGGAGATACAGGTATATGAAGAAACTTTTTGATGGTAAAATCGCCTGACAATCAAGATGAGCTTGTCGAAAAAATCTGAAATCAACTCTTTCCACACACAATTTGTGTGGTTCATATCATACCTTTTAAAATATTGTGTCCACAGGCACCGTTTTCTTTATTGTTGGTAACCAGGTTTGACTGCAAAGAAGTGTTGGAAAATCTAGCCTGATATAATCAATCTCCCAAGCTATGTCTGCTCTTTCACACACATGATTTCAGTTGTTTTAAAGCATTTGTTTTTCTCTTCTCTCTCTGTATCGGGATAAAACAGCAGAAATTACACATGAGAAAGATTAATAATAGTCCCAAGATTGTTTGTATCCTTAGACTAGGTTTCCTCCACTTTAATCTCTGTTGGGGCAAACCTAAATGTACCTACACAAGGAGGAAAAAATTCCTGCAAATGCGGAAAATTTGAGAATACATAGTACATACTTACTGCGTGGGTTGTGTGTTCAGTGGTGAATTTCAGACTTAAGTGCTCTTTAATGCTACCACTAAAATTATTGTTTGTTAATCTTCATGTTTTATCAACTAGAGATCCATTGAGTTTAAGAGAAGTTTATAAGATACTATCACTTGAAGGTGCCTTATTTAAACTTGGATCGATAATAGTCCATTTTCTACTGAAGGAAAAAAGTCAATCTTGACCCACAAGCTTATATTTGAGAAAAATCTCCCATCACTGGCAGATGAGTGAATGTGTATTGTGTTTTAATTTTGAGGACTTTTGGTGGGGATGAGAGCAAGTTTATTTCATTTTATCACTTGTATGCGTCCCTGATACTGATATGGCTCAACAAACGTGACTTGTGCCACAATCATAGGAAGAAAAAACTAATCTTTAATTTACCTTTCTGTTTTTATTTTCTACAGCAACTTTCGGTGCATATATAAATCGACTGAGGGCATTGAGCAGCATCACCATTGTGAAACCTAACATGGTAGTGGCAACAACATAGACTGAGGGTGCCTCAAAACTTTCTCTGGATTTCCACTCATCTGGATCAGAGTGACTTTCTTGCATTTTACAGGCACTTCCCTGCAAATAAACACAAAATAGTGTAAGTTTGGATTTCTACGAGGAACTTGATGTAACTCACATCAAAAGACGTTAGAAAATAGCAATAGAAAAAATTAGATAGCAGCAAAGAAATGGTTCTCAAGTCAGATGATCGATGAAAAAAGTGGATCTCTAGAGCTGATTAAAAACACTACAGTGATTAATTTCACTTCCATAATTAGTCGATGTGGAGATGGAACTGAATGCTGAACTTTTTTGGGGAAAAAAGTTCCCCAACCTTTCACATTATGAATTTGAATGTTGAGGACTAAAAATAAAAAATTTGTGGCATTAATTTCATTGCAAGTGACAGAAACATGTGAAACTTTTTTCTCCAGGTATTATATGATTCAAAAAATTCAAATTGCAATTATTCATTAAAAATTAGTTGTCTATTCACTATCCAAAGAGCAACTTTAAGCACTGAACGCTGAACCTAACAGGCTTAGTTTGATTGTGTGGACAGCTTTGTTATTATTTCAAATTTCAAGTTACAAGATTTTTTAAAATTCCAATCTTTTTCATCTACTTAATTCTGAATTTTCCATGTTCCCCCTGACCTGATGAAATTCCTTGACAATTTTTGGTTTCCCAAACCTGGAGCTGGTGTGAATGAATTGCCACTAGTACCATTGTTCACAATTCGACATAGCAATGACTGGTGAAACAAAACATCCCCTTTATTAGGGGGAATTTCATTCACATTCACTCAATATCAATTTTAGGTCTTGTTTAGAAATACTCATAACCTAATTGATTCTGTAGTATGTCAGGTATTAATATACATAATATGGCCATGATTAGTTAGAAATAAATCTAACAGAGCAATCTATAAGAAAACCGCAGCACTTACTAATTCAGTCCATCACTTTCACTTCGGCTGCATCATCACAGATATTTTGACTGATTTAGTTAGAATCAGCCAAACTACAACAGACATAGCCCAATTTGTTTCTTATGTTTTACTTTATAAACAGAAAACGAAACAGCATTCTGCCTTGCAATTTTGTGAGTAAATTCTTCAAAATCAAGGTAAAATTTACAGACAGTCACACGGCGTTAACTTATGTACCTAGCTCAGTTTACCTTTAAAAAAACTGCAAAAGAGAAAAAATTAAGAAATATGAAATGCAGTTGGGCTCGTTCTGGTTGTTTGTGATCAAATTTTGCAAATTACTTAAGTATGGCCTCAAACACTATAGTTTTTTTTTTAGTTTCTCCAAAAAATTCTCAGATGTATTGCAGTGGGAGCAAAACCCTGTGCTGAAGTCACTAGAACCAACATGATGGCTCTTCTTTCGGTTTCCATTCAGTCTCTGACAAAATGACCATTCGTGGATTAATGTTACTTTCTTCAAGATTTCAATAATTCATGGAAGATTGTTAAGAATGGAAAAAAAAAAAAAAATAAAAAATAAAAAAACTCACTCCATTTCCCAAGGTATGGAATATATTTATACACAAAATAACAACTTACATTCAGGTGAGGTTTAGACTTGGAACTGTGTCTACTGAACAGTCTTCGGAAGTGCTTCCAAAAGAAATAAAAAAGATTTGATGACATCACATTTAATCTTGATAATATAGTGAGAGGCTGCTCTTTCTTAGAGTGGTGGAAGGCGCCATTTCCATTTGATATACTACCATTACTCATGTCCTGAAAAAAGAGCAGAGAGTTATTTCAGGTAAAAACCTTTGTCACAAAACTGCGGTTGATTACTTTCATACAACACACTTCAATATATGAGTCCCAAAATAATCTTTACATCAAGAGCATGTGCATGGCTAGGGAGCCTCAGAGGGGTTATTCTCCCTTGGAAAAGTTGCAATTTGCGTAGCTGCTTAAAATAAGTAGATTCCCAAAAGAGGTTTATAGGGTCTTGTCCTTCCTCAGTATATCAGAAATTTTCATATAAGTAAGTGCATTTAAATAAGAATGGATGACATCAAATGTTGTCAACATAATAGAATAGGGCTGGAAAGATGTAGTACAATTTAGATCTCCTTCAGAGATTGCCAGTAGAGAAGGCAAATGATAAGATTCCAAATTCTGCCAACCGGATAACTTACCATTTCAGACATTTATTAAGACAGGTCAGGAGCAGCCGCTGGGGCAAAAGTGAAATCAGGAATAAAACCGTTTAGAAAGTTCCACTATTCACATTGGACAAGATCAAAGGAAGTTTTTTGAAACAATTTGATGAGGGCTGAAAAACTTTTCAAAAGCTTTTGGAGAAAGTAAAAACGTTATGTAGTTTAATTGCAAAATAGTAGAACTCGGAACTTCATGCTGTCACATTATACGCATAACCTCGAATGTTTGGTCCAGCCTCTTGGGTTATGAATTGGCGAAAAAACTGGACTCCTGCGTGTATATTCGCGAGTTTAGAGCAAAAAATAGTGAAAAGTTAGAAAAAATAAAGCTCACCTTGGAAGCATTGCTTTCGTGGAGGGCGTTTGTTATGAAACCGTTTTTGGCTGGAGGGCACTTGGTGGCATGCCCGTTTTGGATGAGAGTTTTCGCATTTTCCACGGTAAGATACGACATTTTAGCTGAAATATGAACCAGTACTTAATTCGAATACTTAATACGGCAACACTATAATAATTAGGGTACTAGGATATTGATCTGGTCCGGATTTGTCGCATAATCGCGCGGCACTCACTCGGACCGGTATGGTGGGAATGATTACATGGAGAGAATTTTGATAAGCATGACCTGTATTTCGATCAAATAACTTCTGTCTGACTCATACACGGTTGCATGATTGGGCCATAAATTGTTCCCTAAAAATGTGAAACTCGAATAAAATCACAGCAAATAATGACTCAATCATTTTAATCATTTAGATGAATAATTGAAGGGTTTTTGAAACTGATAAGAATCTAATCATTCATTTACTTTGACGCCAATTATAAAGGTTGTAATTTAATAGAAGTTTGGCATGGCTGCGGAGAAACCCTAGGTCTTGGTCTTCTTCACAGAGAGCAGCACTGGCACTGTAATCCTTTCAGAGGATCCTGCTGCTGGATGCAAAATTTGAAATTATCATTTATCAATCGTTTACACCTCGAGCCGACTCTGTCAGACGCGTCTTTCAGGAAGCAAGTGCTTGAATTTTTCGTGAATAAACCGGTCGTGTTTTCTCCCAGTCAGTGTTTTGTGAATGAAATTTGTCGCTTCGCTTATTTTGACGTTTCTACCGGCGGTCATAGGTTATTCAACTCGACTCTGCTTGTAATTGTGGTGTAATATTGAGACAGACGTTCCATTCGTCTCAGTGTGTTTTCGCGTTTAGTAAGTTCTACGCTAGATTTCAGCGCTCAGTCAGTTCATATTTCGTTAAAAGCTGGTGTGTTTAAACTTCTCTAATGGAGAACCTACCAGAGGATGATTTTCTAGCCAACTCCTTGGGTAAGAAACCTGATATGCCCCTAGACGTGAAGTCTACCACCAAAGAAAGTAACATTTTCATGGATCATGTTCAAGAAGCTGATTTATTATCACTCGACAACTCCAAACATAGTCCATCTGAGTCTGAAAGTCTCAGCAGTGAAATCAATCTGGAGTCACTGAAGAAAGATAAGATAGATTTCCCGGCAGATAACATCTTGGCTCTCTCTGCCGGATCAATGAATGATCTAGCCGATTTCCTGAAAGCTGAAGCCCAGTTTGCCGAAACTGCACCTAGTGCTACCAAAGAGGTCGATCAGCTGTCATCTGGCTTTGACAGTCTTGAACCTACTTTTGATAAAAACCCAATCTCAGATTCCAACTTTTCTTCATCCCACTTGGAGCACTCAGATGACGATCATTTGTTCCAACCAATGCATCCAACCAAAGTTGAGCCAGTCGCCAAATCACAGCCTCTGACTGATGACGATTTCCAACATTTTGTCTCGGAACCTGCTGAGAAAGCCAGCCCGATCCATGAAGCCGATATATTTGATGCAAACAAACCTGTTCCTCCTCCCCCTGAAGAGGATGAAGGAGATGAAGATGAGGTTTGCCCCTATCAGCCTCCTGTCAAACCTGTCGAAACCGTAGCTGCCAAAGAAGAGTCACCTCCTCCATCACCAAAATGTGATTTGGGAAAGAGTGCCGCATTCTGCAATCTTCCCAGTAAACCAAAAGTTGAACCCGCAAAACCTGCGGCTCCGAGTGTTCCTAAAGAAACTTCCCAAAGCAAAGTCAGCAAATCCGCGCTCATTGGAGGAGGGGATGCAGATCTTACCATCGGTCCTCAGGATTTCTTCAACAAGATTGGATTAGGTAAGTTAATTTCGTGATAAAAACTTTCTCATTTCTGCTCTTCGTATACACTTTGGGCATTTGCCTGTTATTATCGAGTAAGCTCGTAGGAAGGGAGCAAAATAGTTTTCTTAAGCTGAATCATGTGCCTTACTCACATTCTGATGTCCAGTCATGTAGGTGTAGATAAATTTAAGCTCAATTGTGTTAAAATAGGTGCTTACTTTTCTATTCATGAAAATAAGAGAGAAAATAAGGAAAGAAAATATGCTGAACGCATATATTTTTTTTTTTTTTAGAATTATTTTTGCCCTTTTTTTTTTAGCTCTATTACAGATTTTCCAATCTGGAAGTTGTAGTGTACAATTAATGTTTAGGCTAAATTTTTTTTTTTGCACCAAAGAAAACTAGGGAAGTAGGTATGAAGATTAACACAGGAATGCAAAATCTACTTGATCATGCAGTCTGAGAATCCAACATTCAGTAATTTTTTTCTGACTTGGCTCTTGGAAAATAAGTCCAAATAAATCTAACAATGTATCAACCATTTTGACTTTTTGTGAGAATTTTCAACGTTGGATTGTATGAAACATAAAGAAAATTCTGGAAAGGAAGAATACCTAGAAAAAGATTTTAATACATTTTGGAAAGAAGGAAAATTTTTAGGAAGCGAGTGCAGGAAAGTTTGCAGATTCCTTGAAATTTTTAGCCTTATGGCATATTTTGCACCCTTGCGTTAGTAAAAAATATTTCTCGAATTTACTGTAAAACACTTTTTAGCAAACATTGTATAGCTCATTTAACAGAAGCATTAACTAAATTGCCTGTTAAAATGCTTGCGCGATAAATATAAAAGTGTAAGACTTACTCCAAAGAAAAGTTTGAGAGACAATTTTTTTTTTTTTTTTTTTTTTTTTTTTTTTTTTTGCGGAATCTGTTGAATAAGCACTTATTTTTCATGCTGACGTTCGGAGGGGTGGCCCAGGCACAATTTAAATCCTCCATTTTCTGGTAGGAAGATATGAGGGAATCTCAAAACCAAGATAGCTCAAACTTCGCCAAATATTGCCTTTTTACAGGCAAAATTTTTTATCATAGGGGAGTCTAGACTCTCTTTAGCGGTTGAACAAGAAGGCATGCTCCTTTACCCCCCCCCCCCCAC